TTGGGTCTGATGGTTTGGTTCTGATGGTTTGGGTCTGATGGTTTGTTCTGATGGTTTGGTTCTGATGGTTTGTTCTGATGGTTTGGTTCTGACGGTTTGGTTCTGACGGTTTGGGTCTGATGGTTTGGTTCTGACGGTTTGGTTCTGATGGTTTGGTTCTGATGGTTTGGGTCTGATGGTTTGGGTCTGATGGTTTGGGTCTGATGGTTTGGTTCTGATGGTTTGGTTCTGACGGTTTGGTTCTGATGGTTTGGTTCTGATGGTTTGTTCTGATGGTTTGGTTCTGACGGTTTGGGTCTGATGGTTTGGTTCTGACGGTTTGGTTCTGACGGTTTGGTTCTGATGGTTTGGGTTCACAGTGTTTCTGGTAATATTCCCTGCAGCAGCAAAGGAGACCTCAGAGGAAAGACAGGTGACACCCGTCCTGAACAGGTAGACGGTTGAAGGGCTCCAGGCGGCACCAGGAGACCAGCTTGTTTGTTGTAATGACGGTAATGACATGATGTAACCAGTTCACCGGAGACGCACACAGCTGAGAGTCGCCTGAGGCCTCATTATCCAAACAGATCGTCTCCAAGGTCCTCACTCACCAAACAAGTGTTCACACTTCCTCTGTGCTCTGCTGATTGGTTCGTGAGACACTGGGATCCTCACTCTGTTGTTGCTGCCATCCAATCAGGAGCCTTCACACAGACCCATCCGTGATAGACATCCAGCTCTAGAACCTCTAGAACCTGTTTGTGTCTACGTACTCGCTGACCTGCCGTACTAACGGACCTGGTGCCACTTGTCATTTAGAGGCAGCCCAGACTGACAAAGCTGGTCTTCTGACCTTCATTCTCTGTTTGTTGTCTTTGTCCTCCATCAGTCTGAAGCAGGAACCAGTGTGCTGATGGACATGTGAGACAGAACAGACCAGGTTTAACTGGGATCTTTGGTACCAACAGGAGGTCATAAAGACATTCTGAGCCAGCAAGAAATAAGACCCTGGTAGAAAATGAGACTGAAAGGTCCAATAAGGAAGGAAGGCTGGTTTGGAACGGATGAATGGATCAGAGCAACAAGAAGTTTCTGGCATTCCCAGAACGGAGTAACCAGGAGACCAGGGTGGCTCATCAGGCCCACCTGTGATGTGGTGCCACCCCCCCTGAACCAGGTGCTGCTGTGTCCCTCTGCAGCATGCAGGGGGCGCTCACAGCTCTCTCTCCTGTTCTGCCAGGATTTCTTTGAGCACACCCAGAAACTGTGGGAGGACGACGGCATCAAGGTGTGCTATGAACGCTCCAATGAATACCAGCTGATCGACTGCGCCAAGTAGTAAGGACCCTGTGCATTAAGCCCCTCCCATCTGTACTGTGATGATCCAGGTGTAAAGCCTTTTACTGATCCTCGTGTGTTCTGGATTCCAGCTTCTTGGACCGATTGGACTCTGTCAGGAAGAGGACTACACACCTACCGACCAGGTGAGAGACCAACCAATCAGGCTGCAGCTTCCACCGTGGCTCCGCCTCTCTTCTTCTGCTGCAGGACTTGCTGCGCTGCAGGGTGCTGACATCTGGGATCTTTGAGACCAGGTTTCAGGTGGACAAAAGTCAACTTCCAGTAAGTTCTGGATCTGAGGTCAGAACCACCATGTTCTAAGCAGGAAATGAAAGGTGTGTGTGTGTGTGTGTGTGTGTGTGTGTGTGTGTGTGTGTGTGTGTGTGTGTGTGTGTGTGTGTGTGTGTGTGTGTGTGTGTGTCAGTATGTTTGATGTAGGAGGTCAGAGGGATGAGCGCAGGAAGTGGATCCAGTGCTTCAACGGTAAGAGCTGCAGCAGCAGCATTAATCAGCTGCAGCAGCAGCAGCATTAATCAGCTGCAGCAGCAGCATTAATCAGCTGCAGCAGCAGCAGCATTAATCAGCTGCAGCAGCAGCATTAATCAGCTGCAGCAGCAGCAGCATTAATCAGCTGCAGCAGCAGCAGCATTAATCAGCTGCTGGCTGAGTGTCAGCAGAACTCAGCCCGTTTGGTTCCCTCAGATGTGACGGCCATCATCTTCGTAGCGGCCAGCAGCAGCTACAACATGGTCATCAGGGAGGACAACTCCACCAACCGCCTCAGAGAGTCCCTAGATCTGTTCAGGTCCATCTGGACCAACAGGTGCTGGTGGTTCTGAACAGCTGTCTCAGCTATCTGACCTGTGATTGGCCGCGCTGACCTTCATGTGCTCTGTGATTGGCTGCAGGTTCCTGAAGACCATCTCTGTGATTCTGTTCCTCAACAAGCAGGACGTCCTGGCTGACAAGATCCTGGCCGGGAAGTCCAAGCTGGAGGATTATTTCCCAGAGTTCAGCAACTACCAGGCTCCTCCTGACTGTAAGAGCGAACACGCATGTGCTGATGGACATGTGAGGAACATGGAGCGCTTCTGACATCCATGTCTGTTTCCAGCTGTTCCAGATGTCGGCGAAGACCCCAAAGTGACCCGAGCAAAGTTCTTCATCAGAGACGAGTTCCTGGTAAAACCGATGGTGGTCAGGGAACTGACGAGTTCCCTCAAATGTGTTCCCTCCTATATCTTCCCTCTTACCGTGTTCCCACTAAAGCGTCCCCTCTAATGTGTTCCAGAGGATCAGCACGGCCAGCGCCGACGGGAAACATTACTGCTACCCTCACTTCACCTGCGCCGTGGACACGGAGAACATCCGCCGCGTCTTCAACGACTGTCGTGACATCATCCAGCGCATGCACCTGCGTCAGTACGAGCTGCTGTGATTGGCGGCTGGTCCCTGCTATGGCCCCGCCTTTTCCTGTTAGACCATCAATGCAGGCTTCTTCATGTTTAGAGTAGAAAAGAGAAATTCTGAGAATATGTAGTGTTTATGGTTCAAAAGGTCAGGGTTATTCAGAGCATTATGGGTAGTGTAGTGTACAGGCTGACAGAGTGCAAACATTTTTGTTAAAATATTTTTCCATGTTATGATGTTGAGTTCAGTTATAGCCTGTTGTTGATTGGCTGTTTTCAGATTTTTAACCAATCAGGACTTAGAGCTCATTTATCCAAACAGGAAGCTGATGTGAGTTCATTATTAGCATTAAAAAGGATTTATCAGCGCATTGGTGTCTGTTCTTCTTCAGCACCTGAGGTCCGAAAAGGCCCGGTTCTACTCAGTCAGTACAAGACCAGACAGAGTACACAAAGTTGAAGTGTGATGAAAAATATCATTTCTCTGCAGACAACAAGGGCCACCATTCAGAACCAAACTGGACCGTTCTCCAGGCTCAGCTTGAGAACCACAGCTGCAGAACTCAGAACCTCAGCTCAGCTTTGGACCTGAGGAAATCAGGCTGCAGTGAGAAAGTCTGCTTCCTTTGGAAGAACAGCACTCAGAACTAGGAGGTTCTTTCAAAATAAAAGCTCTTCTCTAAAATCAAAGCAGAGCATTATGACTGATGCAGAGGTTCTGGAGTCGATGTGAGCCACGGTTTCTCTGTGGTTCTGATGTAGAACCAAATGGAGTCAGAGGTTCGTCAGGTTCTGGTTCTGTCTGTGCGGGTCGGACCATCACTTGGACTCCCACTTTATATCAATGGATCAGTTCCAAAAATATCAAAGATGGAAGGAGAGGAATGCTGCTCAGTTCACACGGATCAAAACCAAAGGTCCTCAAAGATCTGGGTTCATCATTGGCTCCTCTAACCGATAAACGGCCTGAACTTACCCAGACACAAATAAAAGCTAACGAGTTACTCTGTCATAAGAGAAACTAGTCTGGGGCTTGATTCTTAAGTCATACTTTGAACATGTTGTCCTCTCACTTTCAACTATTTAGTTAGCAAGCTAAACGTTTAGCTCGCTAACATCATATTTAGGTAAAAAGATAAATCTTTAGCTTGAAGCTATATCTTAGTAACTAAACATTTTGCTGTCACTGCGTGGCCAAACATATGTGACGTCAGCGCCGCATTATTTGGTGCAGAATCACAAAAAATTTACTGAGTTTGCAAGATATGCGGCATCTGATTAAAAGGTTTTAATTCCTCACTGTTGCTATAGTTCCTTTGCTCATGGGAGCAAAATCATGTCAGAAGTGAAACGACTGGTGAGTTTATAACTAGATACCAGCAGGAGATACATCTACCTGGAAAATCCATCGCTATAGATCTAGAATCCTCAGAGCAAAACTAGTTAACTATAGGAGATGAATTCACTGATCATAAAGTGTTTCACGTTTTACTTCATTTTTGTATTCGTCTGAAATCAACCCTGAGAACTCCAACATGCTCTAGAAAACATAGATCTGACATGGAGGCTTGTAGGTTCACACAGATCAAATATATTAAAACAAAATGAAGACGAATATGCAGAGTAAAGACAAGACAACATTTAATATTGCACTTATCAAAATGCACACTGAGCAGGATCATTACAGAAATTTGAAAATATACATGTGTATTAATAGTGCATTAACAAACAGATACACATTTGTGTATTTTGTTTTTCTGGGAAGATCTGAAGCTGTTTTTATTTAAAATATATTTTATTAACCAGATGAAGAGCCAGCAGAGAGGAACAGAAAAAGCAAAGGAGGTGGATTAGCAGAGCTGCAGCAGCAGCTGATGGTTTCCATGTCTGTCTGGATCTCTACAGATGCAGCACGGACTGCTACTGGAGAGCCTTCACGTCCACTCCGCTCTGAGTTCAGACAACATTCTCGGGATAAATAAAGCATTTTAAAAAATCTGCCAAATTAAAAGTGATACAAAGTCTGGAGATTCATTCTGGTTCTGGTTCTGGTTCTGCTGGGGGATTGTTGTGGAGCGAGTTATGTTGGAATGACTCTTTTGGTTTATTGAAGTGATCAGTTCGGTTCTGAACCGGGTCAGAACCAGTTCACCCTCTGGTTCTGACCCGGTTCTGAGGGTCTTCCAGAGTCGACCGAGACCGTCCAGCTCGGACACGGAGCTGCAGCGTGGCGCATGCGCCGTGTGGGTCAGGCTGTGGGCAGTTTGGCGCGCTGCCTGCGTGCCTCCGCAGAGTGTGCGTGCTGGCGCAAAGCGCGGCCTCCTGCGCTCGTCCTCAGCCGCCGCAACACAAACAACAACAATAAACAACAACAGGCGTCCTGCTGACCGGACGGCCCGGCTCGCGGCCGCGGACACACCCACAGGACTCGGCCACGGTAAGAGCTCGCTCCGGCCGCCGTGCTCTCTCCCTTCGGGACCGGGCTGCCTGCGCGCTCTCTCGAGCCGCTGCCGGCCGCCGGAGCTCCGCTCCGAGGCCGCGGCCCCGCCGCTCGCGTGCCTGCGTGTCGGGCAGCCCGCGAGGCCCGGGCACCGGAGCGCGCGCCTCGGGCACGGAGCGGAGCGGAACGGAGCCGCCATCTTGTTTTAGCGGCCGAACCGAACCGAGCCGGAACCCGCGGCTCTGCCGGAGCCGGGCTTTAGGCCCGAACTCCACGCCTGTTTCCGGCCGGATCGGAGTGGTTAGCATGTTAGCTACATACAGCTAACCGGGTCGAGCTCCGAGCCCAGCTCTGGTTCCGAGACACAGTCCGAGCGTTCGGTTCCACCTCAGACCTGCACTCTGGTCCCCGTCGGGTCCGGTCCAGTTCTGACGGTCCCGAACCCTGCCTCATTTCTGGTACCGGAGTCGACCCGGTCTGGTTCGGTTAATGTAAACACAGAAGGCCTCGGTGCTGCTTGGCGGGTCCGGTCCACATCAGAACCCGGTTCCGAATGAGTCTGGGACTCAGCTGGTCCAATAAGTTCTGATGACCGTCTGCTGCCTCTGCAGGGGACGCGCACACGCTCCGAGCGCGTGCCCGTCTCATTAGTAGTGCGCGAGACTAGCAGGAAGCAGACAGCGCGCGCCAGCAGCAGCACAGGGCAGGATCCAGCAGGTTCTGGACGGTTCTGACCCGGTTCTAAGGAACTGACACTGTTTGGAGCAGTCAGAGATCCAACAGTCGGGTTGGGCCGTTCTGGTGGTTCTAAAGAACCGACTTGGCAAGTTCTGCTTCATCAGCAGAACCATCTTCGGTTCTACTGGACCTACTCAGATCAACCCTTCCTGTCTGCTTGCAGAAAGCTGGATCAGAACCGGAACATTCTTCTGGTTCTGATGTCGGAGCGAATAACTGGGTCGCTCCGCAGAGACGGTTCCATCAGAACCGATCAGCAGCAGAGAAGGACGATGCCTCCTCTTCCTCATCTTCAATGTCCGACAGAACCACATGTCTCTGTAGAACCCGGTTCTATTCCTGGTCCTGAAACACTGATGAAGAAGTTGCAACAAAGCTGAGTTCAGTCTGGACCTGGGAGATGTGGTTCTGGTCCAGGAAAAGAACCTGGTTCTCTTTGACTTTGGCAGAAACATGAGAGTTAATTAAAGTCCACCTCTAGTGTCCCTGGTTCCCAGAGGTTCTGGTTCCGGTACTGACCACCTCTAGTGTCCCTGGTTCCCAGAGGTTCTGGTTCCGGTACTGACCACCTCTAGTGTCCCTGGTTCCCAGAGGTTCTGGTTCCGGTACTGACCACTCTAGTGTCCCTGGTTCCCAGAGGTTCTGGTTCCGGTACTGACCACCTCTAGTGTCCCTGGTTGTCAGATGACGGAGACGGTGAAGTACGTGGACGATGAACACAAGAGCATCTTCCTGAAGCTGCTGAACGAGCAGCGGCTGGAGGGCGAGCACTGCGACATCGCCGTGGTGGTCGAAGACGTCAAGTTCCGCGCTCACCGCTGCGTCCTGGCCGCCTGCTCCAACTACTTCAAGAAGCTCTTCAAGAAGCACGAGGTACCGCACTCTGACTCCGCCCATCGGTGGGCCGCGATGCTCCGGTTCTCACCTGACCCCGTGTCCTCAGGTGGACAACTCGTCCGTCATCGAGATCGACTTCATCCGCTCCGATATCTTCGAGGAGGTCCTGAACTACATGTACACGGCCAAGATCTCCGTCAAGAAGAAGGACGTCAACCTGATGATGTCATCGGGACAGATCCTCGGTATCCGCTTCCTGGACAAGCTCTGCTCCCAGGTAACGCTCGACCCACCAGGTGGAGAACCTGCCAGACATCAAAGAATGATGATGATGATGTGCTTCATTAGAAGCGTGACGTGTCGTCAGACGACAAGGAGAAGTTTCCGTATGACATCGTAAAGATGGCGCTGCCCCCTGAAGCCCAGCTGGCCGCAGACTCTGAGGTAAGGCTGTCAGCAGCCAATCAGCAGCCGGAAGCTGCCGTCCTCCGATCTGATTGGTCGCTTCCGCAGGAGTTAGGCGAGCACGATGATGCGCCGGGTGCAGACGACCTGGTGGAGGCATCCACCAATCAGGAGCTGGACAAGTCTCCCAACGCTGCGCTGCATGTGCAGGAAGCCATCTTGAAGGAGCTGACCAATGAGGATGTTCACAAGGTGCTCCACCACACCTGTTGCTGTTTGAACCTTCCCTGTCAGAAGCCGTCCATATGAACCTGTCGTCTCCTTTCAGGTGTCCTGCTACGACCAAGACGTGGTGACGGAGATGGAGGCGGAGCCTAAGGAGCTCGGGGCGGAGCATCACGCCACCCAGACGCTGACCTTCACGGACAGCATCGGCGAGGTGAAGGACGAGGCGGCGCCCGGCTGGTCGGCCGCCGCTGCGGACATGAAGTTTGAGTACCTGCTGTACGGACACCGCGAGCAGCTGGCCTGCCAGGTGTGTGGGAAGACTTTCCTGGACGAGAGCAGACTCAGGTAAGGTGGCGCCTGGTCCACATGGCGCGGCCCGGCGAGCGCGCGCACGCGGCCCGGCCTCACCTGATCCCACCTGTTCTTTCCCCAGGAAACATGAGAAGTTGCACTCAGCAGAGCGGCCATTCGCCTGTGAGATCTGCTCCAAGGCCTTCACCACGCACGCTCACCTGAAAGGTAACACTGGCACACCTGCTTCCGCGCCGCCACCAACTGGCTGTCTGACTCTGCCCCCACCTGCTGTCTGCTCCAGAACACCTGAAGATCCACACGGGCTTCAAGCCCTACAGGTGTGATGTTTGTGGGAAGTCGTTCATTCGAGCTCCGGACCTGAAGAACATGAGCGAGTCCACAGCAACGAGAGACCCTTCGCCTGCCAGATGTGTGACAAGGTGAGCTCACCTGAGGTTGATGATGATGTCACCATCCTGAAGACTTGAATCATGGGAAAGCTCTGGTTTGGTTTTGACTTTTCTGAAGCATGAAGCTGAACCGTCTGCAGACAGAAGTAATAGATCCCAGATTGATTTATTTAAACAGCAGGGGGCCAAAACAGGCCCTGAGGGACCAGTGGAGGGCTGTAGGGACCAGTGGAGGGCTGTAGGGACCAGTGGAGGGCTGTAGGGACCAGTGGAGGGCAGTAGGGACCAGTGGAGGGCAGTATGGACCAGTGGAGGGCAGTAGGGACCAGTGGAGGGCAGTAGGGACCACTGGAGGGCAGTAGGGACCAGTGGAGGGCAGTAGGGACCAGTGGAGGGCAGTAGGGACCAGTGGGGGTAGGGACCAGTGGAGGGCTGTAGGGACCAGTGGAGGGCAGTAGGGACCAGTGGAGGGCAGTAGGGACCAGTGGAGGGCAGTAGGGACCAGTGGAGGGCAGTAGGGACCAGTGGAGGGCTGTAGGGACCACTGGAGGGCAGTAGGGACCAGTGGAGGGCAGTAGGGACCAGTGGAGGGCTGTAGGGACCAGTGGAGGGCAGTAGGGACCAGTGGAGGGCAGTAGGGACCAGTGGAGGGCAGTAGGGACCAGTGGAGGGCAGTAGGGACCAGTGGAGGGCAGTAGGGACCAGTGGAGGGCAGTAGGGACCAGTGGAGGGCAGTAGGGACCAGTGGAGGGCAGTAGGGACCAGTGGAGGGCAGTAGGGACCAGTGGAGGGCAGTAGGGACCAGTGGAGGGCAGTAGGGACCAGTGGAGGGCAGTAGGGACCAGTGGAGGGCAGTAGGGACCAGTGGAGGGCTGTAGGGACCAGTGGAGGGCAGTAGGGACCAGTGGAGGGCTGTATGGACCAGTGGAGGCTGTAGGGACCAGTGGAGGGCAGTAGGGACCAGTGGAGGGCATCAGATATTGAACCTCCAGGTCAGTCGTCTCTGACTTGTCTCTCTCTGCAGGCCTTTAAACACAAGTCTCACCTGAAGGACCACGAGAGGAGACACAGAGGAGAGAAACCTTTTGTCTGTCCGTCCTGCACCAAGGCCTTTGCCAAGGTACCAGACCCAGTAGAGCACAGTGAAGGTTCTGGTTCTGGAGGCTAAAGCAGGTTGACCTCCATCAGTATCTGAGTGATAGTTGGAGACAAGAATGAAGTTTTGATCTCATTTTGAGCAGAACCAGCAGGATTCATGTGTTCACATTAGAATTTGACCCGGCGCTGATGGTTCTGGTTCCCTTCAAAGAACCTAGGATTCATTGATCATCCTCAGCTGACAGATCCAGAAACAATCCGGGTTTCAGCTCTGTTGTGAGGCAACTGGACCTTCTGCCCCCCTCCAGAGCTCTCTGGACTTTGTACTAGAAGGTTCTGTTCTGGTCCTTCCGGACCTCCTCTGGGTCATCTAGGAGCGCGGCTCTTCAGACGGGCCTGGACCGGTACTGGCTGGCCCGGGAACCATGACGTGCTAACCATGAATGTTAGCTCTGCTAATTGTAAACAGTTCCATTACCCTAAGAGCTAACCTTAAATATCAAGTCTGCTAATGCTAAAGAGCGCTAACTTCTACTACGTTGATACCCACCGACGGTCAATAGCACATTAGCTACAACTTAGCATAGCGCTGTCTGTAGGCCACGCCTTCCTGTTCAGAAGGGAATTTGGATCAGACATTTCACTAGTTTCAGTTTTATAGTTGTCTTACATTGATTACATTAACTGTCGCTAATGTAATCAATCAATCAATCAAATGTTATTAGTATAGCACATTTCAGCAGCAAGGCATTTCAAAGTGCTTTACATCATAAACACTAAAACACATAGAATCAACAATACATTAAGTCAAGTTCCATCATTACATTTTTAATTGATTACATTTCAAATCAAACTCTAACCAGCTGGTTTTTAGTTGAGATTTAAAGGAAGTCAGGGTTTCTGCTGTTTTACAGTTTTCTGGAAGTTTGTTCCAGATGTTTGGTGCATAGATGCTGAAAGCTGCTTCTCCTCTCTTGGTTCTGGTTCTGGGGATGCAGATCAGAACCAGAACCAGAACCTGAGAGTCTGGAAGGTTGATACAACAACAGCAGATCTTTGATGTATTGTGGTGCTAAACCGTTCAGTGATTTATAAACTAACAACAGTATTTTAAAATCTATTCTTTGAGCTACAGGGAGCCAGTGGAGGGACTTTAAAACTGCTGTTATGTCTCTGTCTTCCTGGTTTTAGTGAGAACAGGAGCAGCAGCTTCTGGATCAGCTGCAGCTGGAGGATTGATTTGTTGGACAGGCCTGTGAAGATGCTGTTACAATAATCAATGTGACTAAAGATAAACACATGGATGAGTTTCTCTAGATCTGGCTGAGTCATTAGTCCTCTAATCCTGGAGATGTTCTTCAGTGATAGAAGGCCGACTGATTAACAGCAGCAGAGTCATTTGCTGTGATGCATTACAGGTGGAGATGGTGTTGAGAGGAAGTGGAAGTGCTGCGTAAATTTCAAAATAAGAGCATGAATAGAAACGTCTCAAAACCAGCTAATGATAAAAACTTCAACAATGTTGAACTTCAACTAACAAAACAGCCAAGTAAATTAGTTTATGTACAGGTGAGGCCAGAAGTATTCATATGCCTAGTAGGGTTTCTGCCATTCACACCAAGACCGCTGGACTGAGCGGTTCTGACCCACGTCTCTGCTGTTCCAGGCGTCGGACCTGAAGCGCCATGAGAACAACATGCACAGCGAGAGGAAGCAGCTGAACCCGCTGCAGAGCGACACGGAGACGCTGCAGGCCGCCGCCATGGCGGCAGAGGAGCAGCACCTGGAGAACATCAGCTGCTCCTAACACCTGGAGGACCGCTCTGACTCTGACCTCACCTCCCTGCCCTGAGGTGACCCCTGACCTCAGCCCACTAGAACTCTGACCCTGTGGATTTTATGAAGCAGTTCCGCTCAGTTTCATGAGCGGAGCCGCCATGTTGTGCAGAACTCGTGTGATGATGTCATCAGACAGATGATGGGATGAAATCATGAAATAAAATGTTTTTCTAACCCAGTGTGAACTTTTGCTGCCCTCGGCAGCGACTGGCAGGCGCTGCAGCCTGCAGTACCGGCAGCGACCAGCAGGAGGATGACAGCGCCAGGTTCAGGCTTTTATTACAACATGAGCAGGTAACAGACAGGTGAGCTCAGGGCTTGATCAGCCAGTCACAGCCAGGGTGACCCTGTAGACGTCCAGCAGGCAGCAGTCCGGCTGCAGGCGGCGTCATCTGACAGGGAGACGGGGACAGACAGGGAGACAGGTGTCCAGGTGTTCCTCAGACAGCTGGAGGTGATGATGTCATCAGGATACTTACAGATGTTTCCTCCGACCTCGTACAGGTGTTGGGTGGGCTGGGGGCAGACAGAGAGGCGGTCAGGTGACATGAGTGGGGGCGCTCACCTGGACGGACTTGTCCTCACCTGGACTCGGACTGGAAGCGGTCGTCACGTCTCCGGCGGTCGTCTGTTCGTCGAGCTGGATCGCCATGGAACTTAGTGTGCAGCGGAGCGTGAACCCGGATGACCCCTTCGGACAGCTCGCCGACCTGGAAGCAGAACCCGAGTCGATCGGTTCTGGTTCAGCTTCCTGTCAGGAAGGTTCTGACCCAAAAACCAACAAGCATGAAGTGGTTTTGGACCAGGTCATCATTGCTCCAGCCCAGAACACGGTTCTGCTGATGAATCGGGTTCTGCTGATGAATCGGGTTCTGCTGATGAATCGGTTCTGCTGATGAATCGGGTTCTGCTCCAGGACGAGGCCGACCTGATGGGGTGCAGTGCCTGCGGTGTCCCCCAGGGGTCAGTGTTGGGCCCTGAAGTGTTTCCTGTCGGGTTAATCTAATCCAGAATAAACCAGCAGAAGCAGTTTGTGTTTCCAGACTGCGTGTGTGTGTGTGTGCGTGTGTGTGTGTGTGAACAGGCTTATTGACGATGTTTTGATAGTTTATTTATAAATCTAATCAGTTCATGAAGAACATTTAAATAAAGAGGAGCTTTGCCCTGCACAGGTTTATCATGAGGCCTGAAAGCTCTGCTGTGTTCCAGATAATCCAAACCTCCATGTCTGCAAGATAAGCTGCAATGGTTGGATTCTGAGGGGTTAAAGGTCACCCAGCAGTGGAAGGAGATCCTATGTTGTCAAACATGGTTCTATTGGATCCAAACATCTGCTCCACCTCCAGCTGAGTCAAACCAACCTGTTCCCCTCCTGGCCTGTGGGGGCTGCACCAAGAACCACTGAAGGAAACGTCAAGGCGTCAGATTGGAGGATTTCTCTTTGGTTGTATTACCCAGAATGCCCTGCACTATAGTTCACTTCCTGCTTTTGAGGGGCGGTCCTTGGTCCACTTGGACTTCACATTCAAACCGAACCCAAACTGAGGTTTGCAGGACCAGAGGTCATAGGTCGATTAGAATTCACACCTAAGCAACTGAACTGGACTTCAGTTCAGTCCTAGGAGTTGGACTGAAGCGGCCTAAACTGGGCTGGTGGGAATTCAGCCCAAAGTAGACGCAGAACCTGAGCTGGTTCTGATTCTGGTCCTGGATCTGGATCTGGTTCTGGATCTGGTTCTGGTTCTGGTTCTGGATCTGGATCTGGATCTGGATCTGGTCCTGGTTCTGGATCTGAATCTGGTTCTGGATCTGGTTCTGGTTCTAGATCTGGTTCTGGGTCTGAACTCACCAGGTTCCTGTCGTTCTTGTCATTGTTCCTCCTGAGCAGTCGGGACGTCGTCCTGCTCAGGTTGAACTGTCTCTGATTGGACGCCTGGTTCATCTGTCTCACCTGGGTCAGGAGAAACTTCGGGAGCTGCGGGAGACGACAGGAAGTGATGTCAGAGCGGCTGGGACGCCGACGTCACGGAGGACACGGCGCAAGGCTCACGGTCCAAAGCAGGTCCTGGTGCCGGATCATGAGTCGGATCAGCCGGGCTCCGCCATCGCGTCCTCCATGTCCTCCTGTTGCTTGGCGATGGAGCGCTTGTTTCTATGGTTACGGCGGGCGAACAAGTTGGGGGCCATCACCATGGAGACGTTCACAGAGACATCCGGTTGTGGTCCTGATGAGAGACCACCTTCTGGAGGAAGAGCAGCAGGCCTGGAACCACGGGAACATCGTTCAGCGTGCGGAAATTTAAGGTGGACTGAAGAAGATGCAGGTTAAGGTGGAGTTTACCCTCAGCGTGTTTCTGTGAGCTTCAGGGAGGAGAAGGAGGAGGAGCTGCAGAGCCTGGACCTGGTGGACCTCAGAGGACACGCCTGCAGAGACACGTTAGCAGAGACACGTTAGCAGAGACACGTTAGCAGTGACACGTTAGCAGAGACACGTTAGCAGAGGACACGCCTGCAGAGACACGCCTGCAGAGACACGTTAGCAGAGACAGGTTAGCAGAGACACGCCTGCAGAGACACGTTAGCAGAGACAGGTTAGCAGAGACACGCCTGCAGAGACATGTTAGCAGAGACAGGTTAGCAGAGACACGTTAGCAGAGACACGCCTGCAGAGACATGTTAGCAGAGACACGCCTGCAGAGACACGTTAGCAGAGACAGGTTAGCAGAGACACGCCTGCAGAGACATGTTAGCAGAGACAGGTTAGCAGAGACACGCCTGCAGAGACATGTTAGCAGAGACAGGTTAGCAGAGACACGCCTGCAGAGACACGTTAGCAGAGACACGTTAGCAGAGACACGCCTGCAGAGACATGTTAGCAGAGACAGGTTAGCAGAGACACGCCTGCAGAGACACGTTAGCAGAGACACGTTAGCAGACACGCCTGCAGAGACACGTTAGCAGAGACACGTTAGCAGAGACACGCCTGCAGAGACATGTTAGCAGAGACACGCCTGCAGAGACACGTTAGCAGAGACACGTTAGCAGAGACAGGTTAGCAGAGACACGTTAGCAGAGACACGTTAGCAGAGACACGCCTGCAGAGAGGAGCTGTTTGTGTGTGTGTGTGTGTGTGTGTGTGTGTGTGTGTGTGTGTGTGTGTGTGTGTGTGTGTGTGTGTGTGGACGAACCCAGGACAGAGCAGAAGGTGGACAGGTGTGTGTGTGTCAGCAGCGGTGTGGGCAGCTCTCGGATGAAGAGCTTCAGCAGTCCACTGGCGTCCGCCGGCCGCACATCGGTCCAGTCAAAGGCAGTCCAGCAGCGGTCCAGCTCTCTCCTCAAGAACTGCAGAGGGACAGAGACAGACTGAAGTTGCAGTTTGAGACGAAGCCGGACCGGGTCGGGACGAAACCACGTGTCGCACCTTCAGTCTGGCAGCTGATCCTGGAACTCGAAGGATTCCTTCAGTCTGCAGACCACTCTGCTCCAAGACGCCCAACAGCTAGAGAGGCAGAGAGACGGACAGCTGCTCTGAGGACACACTGCAAACCAGCCTGTCACAATGCATGCTGGGAATGTTCAGCTGTTGTACTGCAGGATGTGACCCTGAAATAACGTTGGAGTGTAAAGCAGGCAGCGTTGGACTGTCGGTTCTTCACCTTCTGGAAGAAGACGGGCACTTTGACTCCAGGAAACCTCCTCCTGTCGTCGTCCAGCAGAGAGTTCAGCGAGACGCCGAACACGCCGCCGTCTGGTGGACAGAAGACCGAGTCACGTCTCCTGAAGACACACATTCCTCAAACCGTCAAACAGAAACACACCCCGAGTCCTGCGGCGCGGCGGCCGGCCGCGTTTGCTCTGGACTCCCAGAGCCAGCAGGAAGGTGGAGAGTTCGATGTGAGCGATGAAGCCCAGGCGCGTGAGGTCGCGTGACGACAGGTCGTCTGTACAGGTGAGACCGTGTGACGGGGAGGCGGGGCCAAACTGCACACACGTACCAAGAGAGACCGATCGGCAGCCTGCGGGTGAGCTGCTGACTGATGAGCGGTCGGTCCCGATGCCGGCCACACTCACCTGCAGCTCACTGCTCTCATCTCCCTGGAAACGGACGCAGTCCCTGCACGTCCCGCCCCGTTTGCTCCGCCACGCCCTCTGAGTACGGAGTGTCACGCAGCAGCCAATCGGCACATCTCAGCCGACTCGGCGCCGAGGAGGCAGGGGCAGGACGGGTCTTCAGGCAGCCGGTCCCCGAAAACAAAGACGGAAGAGCGGAGCGCCCTGGAGACAGCACAGCAACACCTGGATCAGCCCGGAACGGTCCAGAACCAGAACCGGCTCCGGTGAAGAGCCAACAGAGGAACCTGAAGGACACCGTCGGCTCGTCAGGCTCCAGAACAGCTTTAGGTCCACATAACCTACTCAGATAATGGGACCTACAGGTAGGACTTGACCTCATATATCCAGACAGAACCAGAACCAGCTGGGACCCTCATAGTCCTGGTTCAGACTTTCAGTTGGATGTCGCCAGATTGGACCGTCACCAACACGCCCGGTCCAAATTAAATGGCTGCACATCAGTTAGCTTAGCATCAGCTGCTGGCAGAATGGGTGCAGGACTGCATGCTGGACAGCAGGTGGCAGTAGATAAAGGGTGAGCAGATTGAAACCTCCACCCAGGAACTGAAACGTCTTTAGAACCTCAGCAGAACCACTGAGACGTTTTCAGTGTCTTCAGTCTGAGCAGAAGGAGCTTCAGGACCTGAAACGTCTCTGAGTCTGTCAACAATCAATATTCACATCAAAAAGAGCCGACGCAACCACTTCAGGAAACATCTGGAGGTCAAAGGTCAAAGCTGCAGAAACAACATAAAACTTAATGAGTCACCGCTTTCATTTGTTGGTTTGATAAAATGTTGGAGCTGACCACCATCTTTTTATTCTCCTGAATAGAGCAGGAGATCCGGGTCGGGTCGGGTCAGGTCACGTCGGGTCGGGTCAGGTCCGGGTCGGGTCGGGTCAGGTCGGGTCAGGTCCGGGTCGGGTCGGGTCAGGTCGGGTCAGGTCAGGTCGGGTCGGGTCAGGTCCGGTCGGGTTGGGTCGGGTCGGGTTGGGTCAGGTCGGGTCGGGTCGGGTCGGGTCGGGTCGGGTCGGGTCGGGTCGGGTCGGGTCAGGTCCGG